AATGTCATGTTGGGGAAGGAAGAAGCAAAGAGGACAAAGAGTTTTGTGGGATTACTTGTGTTAGCTACATCGGTTTCATATAAGAGACAAAGGCATTATAAAGCAACCTTTTAATGAATTATAGCAACATAGTGAGGTCATACTACGAGAAATTAAATTTAACAATGAGAAATTTTGAAATGCAGCTTTCTCGATTTAATTGTCAGAATAAATTTATATCTTTTACTAAGAAATATTTCTAATGAATTTAATTTGATAATTTTATATTATGGATTAATTTCGGATTTCCCAACAAATATGATTATTTTGTGCAATAGAATCTCGTATTTCACTCTCTTCTCAAATCTCCACTTTTTTTTTTAGACACATTTTTTTTTTTTTAAAATCAATTTGGCTCCAATCTAAAATTATTAGGGCTTATCTAAGATCAAATAATTGATCGATAATAAGGAAATATCATCCCTTATTCATTATGTATGAATGAATGATAATATTGATAAAACGATACATTGTTTTTTTTTGCGACTCATTTTAACAAGATTAAGTTCTTCATTTTTTTGCAACAACTTGAGTAACTTGAGATACTTTACAAGTAACTTTACACAGTAACCTGAGGTCGGATCATTATGTTACAATAACTTGAGCCAGACTTATCATGACTTTTCAATTACCGATAACGAATCAAATATAATATTTACTGTGGATATTTGAGATTGTCACAAAAAAAAAAAAATTTATTATCAATCGAAATTTTAGGTCAAATAAATATAATGAGGAAATGAATAAGCACAACATATATGTTTTATGCACAATACTGGAACTCCTGGAGCTAAGTATTCGCATGATTTTGAGGTATTACATTCCAGGCCAATTACTTCACCACCATATGGACATCGTTGAGGTACCTAAAATTTACGCATAAAATTCCATTTTTCCAAAAATAAAACGCAAAAACTTTATCATTTTTTTTTTTTGACCATATTCATGACTATCAATTAATAATTCTCGTTCTATCTTTTTCATAATTTTCAATTCCACAACTTTTTTATGCTACTTTCTAATCAAACTTTTTCAATGCTTTTTTTTTTACTTTTTTATTTTTTCTTATAAATTTAATTTATCATCTCTAGTAATTTCATTTAATAATTTATTTGTTATTCTTACAGTGCAACATACGCCTGTAAGGCATGCAACTTTTTTCGTTGACGGTAAACAATCATATGATGTTTTGCATTTTTTTCCTGTAAATGTACCATTATTTGAACATGGCATTGTGCAGCATTCCGAATTAAGACATGCAATACGATCGGTTGGCATAATTTTGTACGGTTCACATTGCGCATCCATCGTGCATGCATGCGCAACCCATTCACCACCATTTATACATCGTATGCTAGTAGTTAGAGCAGGTAACAGTGACCAAAATATGACTAATACAATATTCATTATCTGCAAAGTTTACGAAACTGCATCCTTACATGCACAAAAATAAATGCATTTACGATACTGATAAGAAAATAGTAATTAGCAAATAGGCAGTAAGTAACATTTGCAATTAGCAAATTTTACGATTGCAAAATAGGTAATAGTAACTAAAATATGACTAATACAATATTCATTATCTGCAAAGTTTACGAAACTGCATCCTTACATGCACAAAAATAAATGCATTTACGATACTGATAAGAAAATAGTAATTAGCAAATAGGTAAGTAACATTTGCAATTAGCAAACTTTACGATCGCAATCACTACTAATTTCATTAATATCATCAAAAATTAATCTTGTACCTGAAATTTCTAATTCGTTTTTTTTTTTTTTTTAAATTTGTTTGACAGTATTTAAACGACGAATTTTTTTTTTTTGCTCATATAAATAACACGTCACTCATATTCATCAAAAAACTTTCCGTTTGGAAACAGATTTGAAAATATGCAAATTTCTATGCTTTTTGAAATTATTCCGAAATTCCAAAACTGTCAGTTACAACTAATTGAAACTTTTTAAATCTTTTTCGAACATTTCGATCAATAAGCAAATGCGAAGGAAAAAAAAAATCCGGAAAAATATTTAAAAAACAGAAAATTAATTGAATCCAAATAGTGTCAAAAATCAAATCTAACAAGTAAACAGTATTATTGATTACCAGAAATAAATACATTGTTTTCACTTATTCAATACTATTTTTCTACGTTCAACAAAATCAAAAAAAAATTTAATTAAAACAAGAAATTTGATAAAAATTTGATATATAATTAAAACGGGAAATTTAATAAAAATTTTGATTCGTGGAATTCCAATAAATAATATTTTTTAAGAAGAGAAAATTTTGGTACCATTAGTAAAAATACAAAAATGATAACAGATACAAATAAACTGAAAAAAAAAGTGAACAATATAATATAATAACAAAATTTGACGTGATAAGTGGAACTGGAAATAAGTGGAACAAATTGAACAAAATGAAAGGATTATTTATTTTAGTGATAAGAAAGTCGAAGATTATTAATATTATTGCAAATGATAGGAGGAAGGAAAACGGAAAAAAGAAAAGAAAGGTTTTTGAAAAAATATGCATTGGAAATTTTGTTTAAATCAATTTCATCACCTTTAATAATAAATAAATTTTGTGATGAAAGAAAAAAAAAAACGCTAGCATAAATTTTACATCATAAAGGAAGCAATCGATACGATCAATGATAAATTCATTGTTTTTTTTTTTTATTTTTTGTTTTTTTTTTTCATATTTTTTGAAAAATATTCACAAAATTTTCTAAGTTATGCAAAATTTGTAGCCTAATAAGTCTAGCTTGGTGCACATTTAGCATTTTTGATTTGTATGCATTAATAAAGCAAAAATCGCTCCCTTCACACTTTCTTTGTTTTCGTCTTTTTTTAGAGCATTTAAATTAATTTAGATGAATAAATTCATTTCAATGAGTGCATCATAACTTTTTATTTGTGCAATGTAACAACAACAACAAATATTTTTGCTATGCTTATAATGTGAAAATGAAATTTGTAAATAAAATTTAAAGCATTTTGTTCCCTTGCACTAACTATCATTTATTCAGCTGTCATAGAAACATTTTCAGGAATATGAATGGATTGTGAACCGTCGTTATTTGGGATATTCGGCAAATGTTTGATAGGAAAAAATTTTATTCAAATTATCTCAAATTTATAGCTTAACAGATTTGTTTATGATAGATGTTAGCATTTTTCATTTTGTATGTTGCCTTGCATACATAAGCGCATATAAATGTTATTAAAGTAAAGGAGGCAATTTTTGTTTTATTAAACTATACAGATTAAAAATATCAAATGTATATCAAAACAAATTTATTGGCCAGCAAATTTTTGCATAATTTAATAATTTTGTGAATATTTTTCAAAAATAAAAGCAAAAAAAAAATGAGTTATAAACTTTACGATGAATCCTATCGATGTTTCTTTATGATGTAAAATATCATTCATTGTAAAATTTAATTATTAAAATTCTGTTGTTATTTACAAATCTCAATAAATAAAAAGTTATTACTCAATCATTAAAATGAATTTGTTCATCTCAATTAATTTAACTGCATAAAAAGACAAAAATAAATGTATGTTACTTTTTAATGTATGTTACTTTCTTCTGTAAATACTTTCTTAGCGTATGTGTAAATATTGATGATTAGCGTAAAGAGATTGAAAATATATTTACAGTAACGGTCAACATATAATAATAGCATCAGTTTCTGTATAATGTTAGCCATAGAATAAGAGATTTGCAATTTAAAATGGAATAGTTAGAAATTTAAAATTTTGTTAATTTTGTTAATAATCGATCAGAGCACAAAATTACAATTGCAAATTAATAGTCCATGGAAGACAGATTTTAAGTGATGGAATTGTGATTGCGAAGTGAAGAAAAGTTTTTTGATCATCACAATTTAATGCAATTCGGTTTTTAAGAAATTTGAAAGGAGAAATATTCGATGAAAATTACGTATCTTTTTTTCTTTTTTACGTGACATTCTTAAATTAAATGAGCAAATAAATTAATTTGTGCAAGAATTTTAAGAATTTAGATAAGTTTATAAACGAATTGAAATCAATAAATTTTGCTATGGAAGAAAGATAAGCGATAAAATTTGAGTTGAAATATTTGACAAAAAATTACCCGTAAACGGACATATATATTTATGAAAAGTATAAAGCTATGATGTCTTAATAGAATAAGGAAAAGTGAACGTAAAAGTTAGCAGTTACAAGGAAATTTCATTTTTCATTATTTTAACCAGTAAAGAATCACCTAATGAAATTATAGATATGGTTGAAATCTGATATGTAACATTGATAACGTTGATTATGTTTTATGTTCTATTTGAAAGGAAAAAGCAAAATTATGATTTTCATACCAAAGATTCAAGCATAGTAACTGATCTATGAACTTAATCTTATTAAAATAACTAATATTAAAATTAGTCGCAGAAACAGTGATGTCATTATCAATATTATCACTCATTCATATACAACGAGTAATGTTTTAGGATGGTGTTCCGTTATCGATGAATAATTTTGATCTTAGATAAGCTAATTGATAAATTCAATAAGCTCTAATAAACTTAGAGCAAATTGATGAAAAAAAAAATGGATCTGTTAAAAAGTGAAGATTTGAAAAGAGAGTGAAATATGAGAATCCAATGCACACAATAATCATATCAGGTAAATTATAATCAACATAATTTCAAAATTAACATAAAAATCTGAAAATTCATCGATAGAAATAATCGGGATTTCAACAAATAAAATAGGATAAATAATTGTATTGTGGAATGTAAATTTGAACTATAAAATCAAACAATTCACTACTTCACTTCTAATTTCACCTGAAAGACTGATAATTCAACTGAAAAAAAAAATTAATAAATAAACTGATAAATTCAGAAAGCAAAGGTGCTAATTTGAATAGTAATGGATTGGATTAGTACATCGATTAACTCAACAAATATTATAAGCCTATAAAAATTCATACGTCAAACCAAAAATATATATTCTTCCCGTCTGTGCAATCAAATCAATTGTGTTATTTCCCGTTTCAGTTTTTGTTTGTTTTTAACTGACTGCCCTCATATTTCCATTTTATCATTCATTGTTGAAATGATGCGACATTCTGTGACAATAAACTGTGAGTACTTTTTAAATGTCACTAATTTTCCGGATAATTCAGATTTCAATTTTCACTTCATTCCAATTCAATTGCAGCTTTGCTTTTTTTTTTTTTTGATTTGATGCCTCCTTTTCTACATTAATAATTGCATTTTCGAGCAACATTAATTGGTAAAAATTATTTAATAAAAGTTAAATATTGCCACACAAAATAGCTTAAAAGAACATTTAAAAATATTTGTACAACAACGAATATCTACAACTCATATGCGAAAATTATGTAAATTAGCTAACGGTTAGCAATTAAGCTCTTGGGCTATGATATCATCAGAAAAATGGCCAAAACTATTAACAAAACTATTTCGTCTTAAATTTTTTTTTTTTCTTAAATTTTGTATTTTGTATTTTTTTTTTTTTCATAAAGCAATGAAATTTTAGAGGGAATCAAAATCAGAAAGGATGCAATTTCCATTCCATCTTTTAGCAATCATCTTTTTGGCACAGCATCATGAATTGTTGGCTAATTTCAACTGTCCTACCGATGAACATGCCGTAGCTTTGGGTTGTTCCAATGCGCAACAATGCACTCGTTACACAACTGATCCGGTTAACTGCATCGAGAATGCATGCTGTATTAAATCAAACAGTTCCGATCAAATATCCCATCCTGTACCATTAATTTGCAGTAATGACGGTACAGCTCTTGTAATTGGTTGTATGAAATCCCAACAATGTCTTCCGTTTACCAAAGAAGCTATTGTCGCTTGTTTACAAGGAATTTGTTGTACGGTTAGTTTCAAAAATAATTTGTGTATTTTGCGGAATTGCTTTTGGGATTGCGGAATTCTCCGATTGTACTTTTACAAAAATGTTCGATATATGTAATTGCTTTAGTGGAAATTCGATGAATAAAACAAAAGTAATATGAAAGTCGTACGAATTTTTCGTCGTCATTGTAGTTTTTCTGAATAGCATTGAGGAGGTTTAAATTTTGCACAGTGTGGTTCTGTTCGTTGCGGAATTCCGTTTCGTTTGATAAAGAATTTTTTTTTTTTTTTTCTGAACTACGAAATGAAATTGGTTTAGTAATTTGTGATTTTGACAGCGGAAGAAAAGAAATGAATGTGTGTGTGTTTTTTTTTTTCAGGTACCACAAAAATCGTCGAAATGATGGGCGTCGTGTTGTTATGTTGACAATGTAAAACTTTCGCAGTATTGCGTTCCGTTAGCCGGAAGATGTCCAGTAATATGTATATATTGATACAATATGTTGCACTATTTGATAGGCCTGTTAGTGAAATTATCATGAAATTATGATTATTTTGTCGAATATTTTACTTTATTATTATCGTTCGTTTTATCAGATTTCTTGATTATTACCATTTTAATACTCAAAAATTTGCAAATGTTACTGAAAAATAAATTAAGCAAATACCTTTTTCCACGATCTTAGACATTTCATTTACATTTGATATTTATAATTGTAATTTTATTACTTATTATTTTTATACATATCATGCGTCTCGAGTTTCATTAATTCATTAATTGTACGCCGTAATTTCATCATGACATCTATTTGATTTTTTTTTTTTTTTCCATTATATTTCACGTTATTCGATTTGCAGAGCACATAATTTTTTTTTCCTCAACATTGTCAAGACTCTTTAATTTTATCGGAAAAAAAAGGAATGACCTCTATTTTTTTTCTATGAAATGACCTCTGTAACATTTCATTAACAGTAAACATTTCATTAATAATAAAAAAAAATTAATAGTAATTATTTCAATTAATAGCAAATTTTATTAATAGTAAAAAAAAATTACCGAGCGATTACTAAGATTTCAGAATTCGAGAAAAGATTTAGTTGTTTATGCGCAATAAATAAGGCTATTCTATTAAATAATATGTTTCCAATCGCATTTCATGAACATTTTTCACGTATTCCATGCTAAAATCAAATTATCAAATCAAATTATCACTCTAATTACCATCTGTTGCTGTACAATTGCATTTAATTTTATTTCACAACTGTGGAAACGATAGAATTCCCACAGAAATTAGCAGTTAAAATTAAAATTCTTGAATACCTCGAACTCTTTTTATTGAACTCACAATTATTTGCCTTTATTGGATAGCTAGTTTAATTTATAAAAATATACGATCATAACAGGTTCAATAATGCAGCTTAAATTTTTTCAGTGTAAGTTATAAAATTGAACAATGGGGTTGAATTGAAATATGCAAGTTCTGTAATTGAGGCGTCAATAGTATTTTATGTAAAAATTCCAAACTTTATGAGTCTCTTTCAAATAACTCATATTTGAAATAAATTTTGACCTCTTTCAAAAAACTTTTTGAATTCAAAGATAATTTCTTCATGAATAAATTTTAGATTTGAATACTATTTCTTCATGAATATATCATGATGATAAGCAAGACTTGAATTGGTTGATAATATTGGATATTTTTTGAGTTCTACATCATTCACTCAATATTATTATTTGTCCAATGCATAAATTTGATTAAAGATAAAGTTTATAAAAATAATATACAAGCTTACTTTAAATCATAAAATTTATATTTTATTTCTTGATTTAATGCATGAATTTTATATTATGAAAGTGTCAAATAATATATGAGTTCTGATATATGATATGTATGATATATATATATATATATATATTATATAT